ACGATTTCAGATCTTGTATCAAAGTCTTGTGATCTTGGGGTAGATGCAAACCAAGCAGGACTAGAGACAAGGTCGATGATGTTCTCTCAAAAGCGTTTACAGCCAAAAGATTCAAAACCTTATTACAAAAACAGCAATAATCTGCAGATGAGAGCAATGTATTTGAAAGGAAGAAATTATCTTTGTCAGGAGAGAAAATAATCTAAAAGCATCATTCTTTTGTCACCAATCGGGTATTTTTATCAGTGACTGTCCTGGGGCTCATTAGCATATTCAATATTTAGGTTGAACCATCAGCATTTCTATCGGTAAACCCACCAAACCCCTGAGACTGTTACACATTTTTCGAGTATTTCAAAAGATTCCCGTTTGAAAAAAAAAATTCCCGAAACGGTTTCGGAATTTTTGAAATTGCCACATTCATTATTGAAATATGAATATTTTCATAAGATAATGTATAATTTGATGCTCTAATTTATGTCGGCTGGTGTCAATTCTCGTCTTTCCGTCTATTGACAACATTGAAATGAAATAAACTATAAAATAAAGGGAATTTATTTGGTTTGGTTTACTAAATACGTTACAACTTGAAGACATATTTACAGTAGGTATATATAGGTATATTCACAGTCAAAGTTATTGTCGTTCCTATAAGCATAAAATTAAATAAATATTGAGTACAGATCTCTCATCATAATTATCTATATAAGTACTTTTTCGTGGGTATTTATTCATAAATAACATAAAAAAAACAATAATTTCTATATATATATAAACAATCAATTATTGCGAGTCCATCATCATTTATATGGCACTAAAATATGGGAAAAATAAAATACAAAAATATACATATACATATATCTTATCTACTAAGTATATCTATTCATAATATATAGCATTTATGTACATTGAATAAAATGCGAACGAATTAGATATTGGTATAGGTACTCAATTGAATACTTAATTGAAAATAAATAGGAGTCATGCCAAATTTTCAAATATTTGAAAACAAATATTTTATGTAGAACTGTTATGGAGTTTCATACTATGAGTATACTTATTTGCATAATCAATCCCATTCCCAAGGAATGCATCATTTGTTGCATCAGATCCAAAGGCTTTGAACATGCTTTTTCAGGATAGCAGAATTCTTTCTCATTCAAAATAATATTAAAAAAGAAAGAAAAAATCTTGAAGTCGTATCCAGAAATATTTTAAAATGTAGCTTATACTGCTTCAAGAGGGTTGAGACATGTTTCGACCACTCAAATATGGTCATCAAGAGTCATAGTGCATAAACCGTCTATGGTCTGACAAGGCTACAACATTATGAAGACGAAAAATTTATGATTGAAAAGTTCAGCGTAATTGGAAAATGGTATAAATCTTGGGTAGGCAGAAAGTCAATCCCTCATGGACTTGATTTTCTTACCCAGCGAGCACAAACATCCCTGGGATGTTTTGGGATGTTTTGAAAATGTTGGCATGAAGATGTTATTTTGAGACGTAATATGCACTGACCAAAGAGGTCTTTGAAGGATATTGAAGTATTGTTTTTGTTCTCCTGTGGCATTTCTTCGTTTGCCTACTGAGAGCAGGTATCCCTGGGATGTTTTGGGATGTTTTAGAAATGTAGGCATGAGGATGTTTTTTTGAGGCGTAATATGCACTTCCCAAAGAGGTCTTAGAAGGATATTGAAAGTATTGTTTGTGTTCTTTTGTGCCCTTTCTTTGTTTGCCCCACCACAACGTCTCATGCTTACGTCACAATACGATGAATTCTGATTTGTTTTCGATTTTGTTCTTCTTGTTCGCAATTGGCATTCGCGTTTGCAGCGTGTCACGCTTACATCACGCTGCTAACGAACAGAAAGAAATTTGGTGAAGTTTATTGTGTTAGAAGACTTATTTAGTTTGTAATAATGACCATCAGATGCAAGATGTGTTGTTCGGTGCCTCAGTGTAATCAATATATAAAAGTACGAATTCATCAAAACACATCAGCTTTTCCGCAGTTGCAAAATTATGCATTGTGGAGAACATTTCAAAAATTGGGAAACCTATTTCCAATTACATGTCTGTGTGTAGTATAAGCACTACTCAGAAACCGATTAAGAAGGTAATTTCATATCAAGAAAATATTTTTATGTTCAATCTATTTTTAATGCATTTTTTCATTCAAGTGAAATGAAATCCTAATGCAAAAGTTCATTTTGACAAAAGGCTTCAGAAAAGTACCTCGAAAATGGTTTTTTTACAGCGATTTTATGTGCGCAAGACGCGTTGAAAATGTTCTGTTGTGTCCATGAAAAGGCTTTAAAGAGAACTAGGGAGAAGTTAGTTTTGTGACATATCAAGGACATCTCGATAATTGCCGCCCGCGGCGGACATTGGCTGTTCTATAATAGTTCTATTCATGTGTGAACAGAACATCGCAGTGGAGGTTCAATGTCTCGAAATCTCGTACTTTTAACATCTCTGAGATGTTTTTGTGCTCGCTGGGTATTCTGGCTATAAAAGAATATGAAAAGTGATAATTTTTCCGCAATGAAAATCATTCCAATGTCAGAGGTCTTATGAGTTAGTAGGTAGTTTCTACATCATGCAATTTGATCATATAAAACTCCAGCGACTGCCTTTTGCCTTCTATGAATTGTAATCAATCGATATACCTCGTTAAAATACTTCGAATTGATGCTTTTTTTTCATAAGGAAGATTATAAATCGACTAATTGACATTGATAGTTATTTATTATACAAGGGAAAAAAGTAGTAGATTTTAGCTCCAGGTTGTGTTGTCTCCCGACGCGTAGCGGAGGGAGACAAAAAACCGTGAGCTAAAATCTAATATTTTTCCCGTGTATAATACACTATTTTTTTCTGTGGCAGAAGGAAGGGCGAATCAATATTGAGGAGATATTACATTATTTCGAAATCTGAAAATTATCGACGTGAAATTTCAAGATTTTAACAGTAGGGACACCTGCGTTTTATAGACATCTTTATCATTCTTTTGAAGTAATCAAATATCTGATGTCACTTCTGTCAGTTCAATTCTGTGATTTGATTTTGGAAAATTGCGAATTCAGTAGTTGTTTAGTAATACACGTAACCGCGAAGTCGAATGGAAGATAAAAGGACTTGCAGTTCTTTCTCGGAGACGGTATTATTGACTCATTTTTCGGAACTATAGCACAACAAAAGCCATCAACAGTGTATATATATGTGATATATATCCGGGAAAGAAGTACTCACTTTTTTCCCACGGGAAAAAAGTAATTTATGAAAAGTGACATTTTATAACCTGCCAACAGGGATGAAATGCCAAACTTTTTTCCCGTCACAGAAAAAAAACATTTTCTCCAATCTTTAACATGACTCGAATATTCATTCTTCTGAAATAGCTATGGATATAGCAAGTAAGGTTCTTGAAAATGGAAAATAAAATAAAAATACCAAGCCATACTACAGTCATTATCAGTGAATGTATACAGTGTGTCCCACTTACCATGCTCACCATGGGTATCTTTTTAACGGTGAGAGATACGAGGTCGGTTAAATGACACCAAATGTGGAGTATGTCAAGGCCAACTATAATGTGAAAAAATATTTTGATAAAATCTATTCGTTTTTGTTTTATACGCAAAAAACAGATTTTGATCATTTTCATGTCTCCTCCGTAACTTCTTTATTTATGAAAATATTCAAATAGGAATTTCACATTCTCATGGCAGATTTTCGAAGTGATTTCGAAAAAAATATGAAATTTATACCAACTCTTCTATAATTTGAGATATCAGCATCAACTTTAGTTTTTCAAATGTAGGTCATAGCTCACTATACCTTGGTTACAAATAACTTTTTTCTCTCTCACAGATGATATGTCGCAGTAATAGTTTTGTGTTGATAACAACGGAGTTATCGTCATTTATACAAAAACAAACAATTATTCGGAAGCCGCCATCTTGAATTTATAAATTTTTAACAAAAAATCATGATCTCCGACCTCAAAACCCCCCACTTACCAATTTTGAATAGACTCGGACCAAATCTTGTCCGCCATCTTGGAGCAGCCATTTTTTTTAATTCCAACAAAAATTCCATAACTCCGATTAACTTGAAATTTGGCAGGTGTTCATAATTTCGGTGACAATACATTATGGAATTTTTGTTGAATTTGAAAAAAAGGCTGCTCCAAGATGGCGGACAAGATTTGGTCCGATTCTATTCAAAATTGGTAAGTGGGGGGTTTTGAGGTCGGAGATCAAGATTTTTTTGTTAAAATTTATAAATTCAAGATGGCGGCTTCCAAATAATTCTTTGTTTTTGTATAAATGACGATAACTCCGTTGTTATCAACACAAAACTATTACTGCGACATATCATCTGTGAGAGAGAAAAAAGTTATTTGTAACCAAGTCATAGTGAGCTATGACCTACATTTGAAAAACTAAAGTTGATGCTGATATCTCAAATTATAGAAGAGTTGGTATAAATTTCATATTTTTTTCGAAATCACTTTGAAAAACTGCCATGAGAATGTGAAATTCCTATTTGAATATTTTCATAAATAAAGAAGTTACGGAGGAGACATGAAAATGATCAAAATCTGTTTTTTGCGTATAAAACAAAAACGAATAGATTTTATCAAAATATTTTTTCACATTATAGTTGGCCTTGACAAACTCCACATTTGGTGTCATTTAACCGACCTCGTATCTCTCACCGTTAAAAAGATACCCATGGTGAGCATGGTAAGTGGGACACACTGTATTCATGCGCCAACTGATAATGCTGCGTATCAACGATCACGCTGGTATACCATACCTCGTCACATGACCTTGAGTCTAATATTCAATCTTCTGGTAAAGCAAGCAAGTTCGCTTGAACAATAAAAGAATCAAAACTGACATTTCGATAGATACCCTCACCGCACCACTTCAGGTAGGGTCATAAAAAATGGTATAATGAAAAAACACTGCACCATACTTCAGTCATTATCAGTGAACGTACTCATTCGCCAGCTGATACTGCTGCGTATCCACTATCACGCTAGTATACCCGGCTGCGTGGCCTTGATGCGCGTGCCACGGGTGGCCTTGGGTTGCCTGATGGTGGTTGTCGTTCTCGAAACAGTTGTTGACGTCGAAGGTGTACGCGTGGCTTCCGCCCAGGTTCTGAATGTGCAAATGGTCGCTCTCGGACGAGCTGCATGAGCTCGAAGAAGCGCTGAAAGGTCTCTGCACTGCACGGAGAAAAAAGTTTGAATCAAAAAAAATGTCGTGAATTTAAGGAAATGTCAGTGTCAAATATCTATGGTGAAGGTTCGTACTAGCTGCATACACGTAGCTGCATACACGTAACTGATCAAGAGATTTTGTACTTCGTTTAATAGTTATTTAACCAACTAGTGTATTAATGAGGGTGATTAATGATCGAGATATTTTAACGTGCGAGCGAAGCGAGCGCGTTAATGTTCGAGATCATTAATGGTTCGCGAATTCATCATTCATCCGGAAACTGCTAAGAATCACCCAGTAGCCTTGTTACTGACATTACTGACATTTGACATTTGTCGTAATGATCAACATAGAAAATAAATTCCTTGTGTTAGAAAACAGGGATTAAAATCGTGTCAGAAACTTGGAAAGGCGAACCCGTTAACGGAAAATCTTCGATGAAATCCATATTTTCGATTTAAATGCAGATTCCGTAAGTTATAGCATAAACAATGAATGCACGCGGTGTATGTTTGGTTGCCTATAAAACAATCGTGCATTAATAGACAAATCGTTCATTAATAGGGGTCATTAATGAACGATTTCATATACATTAAACTTAGTCGTTAATACGAGGTTGACGGAAATTAGTATATTATGTAACAAGTGTTTATAAAGGTCCTTTTAGTAACGAGTTGTTCAAGCACAAGCGGAGCGAGTGTTTAATAAACGAGTGCGTCTAGAAGAGTTTATAAACGTGTTACATACTATATAGAGTTGAATAGCCTTGAGTCAACTGAAGATACATGGTGTAAACATGATGTTTAAAACATGTGATCACCTTGGTAAGCATACCAAATATCCATACGGTATAAACGTGGCCATAGATATATTACGGTAGAGTCACTGGATGGCATTATTATATTTATATTGTTACGATTTTACTCTGGGTCCGTAATAACTTAACACTCGGTATAACACTTAAAACGATTTATTCTGAACACTACTATACAATAATTACAATACTCGTACTAAACACTTCCGATTCACAACACTTCTTCGATCGTTATTATAACGCTTCCAAATAAAGACTTCTTTTCCTGTCCCTAACAACAACTATTTATACTACCTAATAAAACGTCTAGATTCCACTCGAAATATCGTGAACAGGTCGATAATCTTCTCGAGTCATCTCATCAATAGCCGTCGAATCACCTAATTACTATTCCAAGAAATATGTGTTTACTTTCATCGCAGGTAGCTGGGATTGATCGCCAGGGTCGTAACATTTACCCCCTTCTTCAAATTTGATCGTCCCGATCAAAAACAGAACTTTCCTCACCATGATAAGGCTTCAGTCTTTCAAGATGAACGACTTTCATCTTTGTCCTAGGGCTGCGTTGGATTCTATAGACCACATCATTGATCCTTTTCAACACCTTATACGGTCCTTCCCAAGATGGTGTTAATTTGGGTGATACGCCCTTCTTCCGTCGAGGATTATACAGCCAAACTCGATCTCCTTCGAAGAATCCCTCTGAATTGGCTTTGAGATCGTACCGTGCCTTCATTTTGTCACTTGCTAATTTCAATCTCTTCCGAGCAGTCTCATGAATTTTCATCAAGCCATTCCGGAGCTCATCTGCGTAGTCTTGTACTTCCTTTTCTTCAACACTTGGTGAACCGAACACCAAGTCACAAGGTAAGCGGAGTTCTCTTCCAAAGACTATACTAGCTGGAGTTAGCTTCGTTGAATCATGGACAGCTGCTCTATACGCCATCAGGAATAAGGGAAGATGCCTGTCCCAGTCCCTCTGATGCTCTTCGACTACTTTGGAAAGATGTTCTTCCATAGTTCGGTTGAATCTTTCGACCATGCCATCGGATTGTGGATGTAGTGGAGTTGTTCTCGTCTTACTGATTCCCATTAGATCACAGACCTTTTTGAATAAGTTCGACTCAAAATTTCTCCCTTGATCAGAATGTAATTCCATTGGTACTCCGAACCGTGAAAACATGTTGTCGACCAATATCCTGGCAACTGTGGAAGCTTCTTGGTTTGGCATGCCGTATGCTTCTACCCACTTACTGAAGTAGTCCATAGCAACCAAGATGTATTTATTTCCATCATCAGTCAAAGGGAATGGTCCGGCTACATCGATGGCGATCCTTTCAAACGGAGCACCCACATTGTATTGTTTCATTCCAGCTCTTGATCTCGTTCTGGGACCTTTACTGGCTTCGCATACAGGACATCTTCTACACCAACTTTCCACGTCGTCACGACATTGAACCCAGTAAAATCTTTCTCGAATTTTACTCAGTGTCTTGTTAACTCCAAAATGTCCACCAGATTTTCCGCCATGGACTTCTTCCAGAACTTCATTAACTCTGATGTGGGGCACAACCAGCTGAGAAATTGTTGATCTACCATCAGCTGATTCCCAAACTCGCTTCAATAATCCATTCTCCACAACTAGTGAGTCCCATTGTGCCCACATCGCCTTGAAAGCAGGCCCTTTATCCGAGATATCCTTCCATGTCGGTCTTTCTGTTCCTCTTTCTTTCCAACGTAGAAAATCGGCGATATTCGGATCGTTCTCCTGATCTCGTCTCATGTGTGCTGCTGTCCACTTATCATCGGTCACAAGCCTGGTTTTTCTAACATCAGCGGTTCCTTCTCGATGTTCAATGCGCAGACAATGCTTACAGGTTTCCGAACAAGGTCTTCTGGACATGGCATCTGCATTCTGGTGTAGTTTTCCTGGGCGATGCTTAATCTTGAAGTGATACTGGTTCAGCTTTTCCAGCCATCTTGCTATTTGACCTTCAGGATTCTTCATCTCCATCAGCCACCTCAAAGCTGCATGATCCGTCCTAATGAGAAATTCTCTCCCGTATAAGTATTTGTGGAAATGGTCAACAGCCTTAACAATTGCCAGCAGTTCTTTCCTGGTGACACAATAATTCCTTTCTGGTTTGGCCATCACTTTGCTGTAGTATTCTATAACCTTTTCTTGACCATCCTGTACTTGTGATAGCACGGCTCCAATTCCGATGTTACTCGCGTCTGTGTCCAAAATAAACAAGTCTCTCTCTTGTGGGAACCCCAAAATAGAACTCGAACAGAGGCCAGCCTTCAATTTCTTGAAGGATTTCTCACATTCTACAGACCAGTTGAAGTTGACTCGATCTTCTGTCAATCTATGGAGTGGTGCCGCAATATCAGCAAATCCTTCCACAAAACGACGGTAGTAAGTGCACAATCCCAAGAAACTTCTAACTTCATGTTTGTCCTTCGGTCTTGGCCAGTCTCGAATGGCTTGAATCTTTGTCTCGTCAGTTTGTATTCCTTCTGACGTTACCGTGTGGCCCAAGAAATCTACTCGTTTCTGGAATAGTGAACATTTCTTCAGGTTCAGTTTGAGGTTGGCATTCCTGAATCGCTGGAACACTTCCCGTAAGTTCTTCAGGTGTTCCTCGAAATTCTTTCCCATGACCAAAACATCGTCCAGATATACCAGGCAAGTTTTCCAAGTGAGCCCACGCAGTACCAATTCCATCAGCCTTTCGAAGGTTGCTGGGGCATTACATAGTCCAAAAGGCATCACAGTAAACTGGTACAGTCCATTACCAGTCGTAAAAGCAGTCTTCTCCTTATCTTCTTCGTGAATGCCCACTTGCCAGTATCCGCTCTTCAAGTCCAGTGTCGAAAACCATCGGGAGCCAGCCAATGTAGTCAAAGTGTCATCAATCCTTGGTAACGGGTAGCTATCCTTCTTGGTGACGTCATTGAGCTTCCTATAATCCACACAGAATCTTGTGGATCCATCCTTCTTGGACACTAATACAACCGGTGCAGACCAAGGGCTGGATGATTCTTCAATTACCCCATCCTTCATCATTTTGTCAACCAGCTGTTCCACCTCCTGTTGCTTAGCAAATGGCATTCTTCTTGGTGGTTGCCGAATTGGGTGAGCTTTACCAGTATCTATTCTGTGCTTGACCAAGTTCGTCCGCCCTGTTAATGTTGATTCAAAGATATCACTTTCGTCTGCTATGAATTTCTTGGCAGCTTTATATTCTGTTGGTGATAAGTGGTCCAAGGAGGTTTCCAGAACTTTCAATGCACTGTCATCTCGTTCCCTCCATCTCTGCTCGTTAGTCTTATCACATTTTGCTACCCAACTGACTGGTTCACAAGCTCCGATAATATCTCCTTCCCTTACTGTTATGGTGGTAGGTAAAACATTTGCTACCCTCACAGGAATGTCTCGTTCGGTGGTCACTAAAGCTCGGGCAAGTAACAGCTTGCTGGGGGATTCCTCACATGACTGTACTAATCCAACGCAGCACCCAGGGTCCTCTTCTAATCGCGCATGGATGATCTTCTCAGTGAATCCAGGAATTCTCACAGTCTTCGCTAGTCGTAGCCTCACAGACGTCTCCCTCTCGGCTGGTGTCGTTAGTACAAACTCTTCTCCTCCAAATTTCATGGTCTTCTGATCACTGTCGAATGAAAACCCGTAGTCACTTATCAGATCCATGCCGAGGATAAACTCATCTTCGATATCTGCGACGTATACCATGTTCACTAAATGGAGTCTTCCAAGCGTCAACTCGATATCAGCCATCCCTCGTATAGGTGCATTTTCTCCAGTGACCGTACGAAGAACAAAGTTGGAAGTGGTTGGTTTTATACTTCCAGGCCGGAGAATGTCACTGCGTACCAGGGAAACTGATGCACCGGTGTCTATGGTGCAGGTTACATCCATTTGGTTGATTTTTCCTTTGATGGTCAGGCTATCAGTTGTTCTTCTTATCCTTTTGATGTTAATGACCCTGGGGGCTTCGCTATTACTAGCCAGCATGCGCCCCGATACACTGGCTAGTTCTAGTTTTTCCTGGTATCTATCTGAGGACTCACTAGATGACCTAGTCCTCGCAGGTGAGTACGACCGTGATGGCGTCCTTGCAGGTGAAGAAGATCGTGGTGGTACTCTCACCTTACAGTCCCTTATCAGGTGTCCAGTTCTGCCACAGCGATAGCAGGATCTATTTCGCTGGTTACTAGACCCACTCTTAATTTCTTTGAGTTCCTCAAGCACTTTTCTCAACATTTTCGCCACTGGGTCCACGTCTTCGGAAGGCTCCTCGATGGACACAGCTCTCACTTTTGGCCTAGAGGTGTTGAAGGCCGCTTCTACCTCCAGAGATCTTACTAGGGCTTCACCACTCCTCTTAAAGTGTGTAAGCCTCAGAGTCTTCTGTATTTCTGAGTCTCTCAGCCCGTCGATGAATACCTGCACCGCCAGTTGTTCTTTGAAGTCCTCTGGTGCCTCTGGGTAGGCTAATTGAGTCAGTCTTCTCACATCTGCTTCGAACTCCTGTAGGCTCTCTCCAGACTTCTGCACACGATTTTTCATCTGAGCCCGGTAAAGCTGTTCTCGATGTTGGTCACCATACCTGAGTTCTAGCGCAGCCACTAAATCTCCGAAGTGGTTTTGTTGTTCCACTGGGATCGACTGTAACATCCCCAAAGCTGGTCCTCTCAGAGCTACAATGAGTGCAGTAGCTTTTTCCTCGTCACTCCACCCATTTGCACTTGCTGCAGCCTCAAATTGTCGGCGATACATAGACCAAGGCGACTGTCCATCAAAAGTTGGTGGTTTTACGGAAGAACCCGATGTGGCAACCCTGTCACGACGATCTTGACTTCGTAGCGAGGCGATCTGATTCGCTACATCTCTTTTGATTGTATCGAACATGGAATCTATTCTTGAAACTTCCTGGTTAAGCTTGTCGTCAATTTTGGTGAAATCTGTCTTCAACTCATCTATTTGCACATCAGTTTTATGCAGAATTTGTTCGAAGAAGATTTTCTGATGTTCTCGTTCTTTTTCTTGATGCTCTAGAATTTTCTGTAACTCTTCTTGACGACGTTGCTCTTCTTCTAATTTTTCTTCATGACGACGTTTCTCTTCTTCTAATTTTTCTTCATGACGACGTTTCTCTTCTTCTAATTTTTCTTCATGACGACGTTTCTCCTCCTCCTGTTTTTCTTTCTGTCGTCGTTCCTCTTGTTCCGCGAACTGATTTTGCATAAATTTCAAAATGTCTTCCATCGCGTCGTATGACGTACTCCTTGTATTCACCATACGTCTTCAAATGTCCTCGAAAAATCCACACTTCTGACACCACTGTTACGATTTTACTCTGGGTCCGTAATAACTTAACACTCGGTATAACACTTAAAACGATTTATTCTGAACACTACTATACAATAATTACAATACTCGTACTAAACACTTCCGATTCACAACACTTCTTCGATCGTTATTATAACGCTTCCAAATAAAGACTTCTTTTCCTGTCCCTAACAACAACTATTTATACTACCTAATAAAACGTCTAGATTCCACTCGAAATATCGTGAACAGGTCGATAATCTTCTCGAGTCATCTCAATAGCCGTCGAATCACCTAATTACTATTCCAAGAAATATGTGTTTACTTTCATCGCAGGTAGCTGGGATTGATCGCCAGGGTCGTAACAATATTTATTACGATGTATCTGTTACCTGTTTGTTGTTGCTGCTGCTGCTGATGCTGCTGCTGCGTCATCTCCGAATCAGAAAAATCCGAATAGGGGTAGAACGCGCCGTGGTCCTGGTGGTGGGGAGAATAGTACGACCCCTCCTCACCCCCGTAGCCGTGCAAAAACACCGCGGAGGGGTAATCCGGCGGGGGTGGGGGGTAGCTCATCGCGCCGTTCGAGTCGCTGAAGTCGTCGTCGGTGAGGGAGGGGGTTTGCGGGGAGACGATAGAAGAGGGGAGGCGAGTGGCGGCCGCTGGTTGGGGCGGCTGGTACTTGTGGGAGGGGAGGGGGCGGTTGGAGGGGGGGTGGACGGGGGAGCGCGGGGAGTCGGGCAGGTCTTCGCGGGGGCTGCCTTGGGCCAGGTTGAGGACTAGTTCTTTGGCTTCGAATTCGCTGGAATGGAATGAGAGATGTGGGTCAGTAACTGTGTGGGGGTGTCTTGCTTTAGATGACTATCTGATATTCTAATGAGACCATGATGTCGTATTGGTTCTTTCAATGACATATCCCAGCGAGTACAAAAACATCTCAGAGATGTTAAAAGTACGAGATTTCGAGACATTGAACCTCCACTGCGATGTTCTGTTCACACATGAATAGAACTATTATAGAACAGCCAATGTCCGCCGCAGGCGGCAATTATCGAGATGTCCTTGATAGGTCACAAAACTACCTTCTCCCTAGTTCTTTTTGAAGCCTTTTCATGGACACAACAAAACATTTTCAACGCGTCTTGCGCACATTAAATCGCTATAAAAAAACATTTTCGAGGTACTTTTCTGAAGCCTTTTGTCAAAATGAACTTTTGCATTAGGATTCCATTTCCCTTGAATGAAAAAATGCATTAAAAATAGATTGAACATAAAAATATTTATTTCTGACAGTGACATTATAAGCTTATATCGTCATAGTTACGATATCTATAATGAGGGTCATAACTCACTTGGGATGTTATAGATGCTATAATTCCCTCTAGCTAAAATTAAATAAGAAATGCATAGCAACAACCATGCAATAACGTAGCAATAAGGAATCTCCTATTCGCGGTAGTCAAGATCATCATCTGACGTTCTGATGACATTGAAACTATACGGAAAAACATGTCTTACTTCCAATCGGGAAGGTATCTAATGAATGAAATCAGTCAGAAATAAAATTATCTATGTATCACGGGAATTATAGAGCCTTAATAACCTCTGGCAATTGCTGTCCCTCGGGCCAGAGGCCCTCGGGACGCAAACTTTGCCATCGGTAATTAAGGCCCTCATAATTCCCTTAATACATAAATAACTATTTCTTGATATGAAATTACCTTCTTAATCGGTTTCTGAGTAGTGCTTACTACACACAGACATATAATTGGAAATAGGTTTCCCAATTTTTGAAATGTTCTCCACAATGCATAATTTTGCAACTGCAGAGAAGCTGTGTATTGATGAATTCGTACTTTTATATATTGATTACACTGAGGCACCGAACAACACATCTTGCATCTGATGGTCATTATTACAAACTAAATAAGTCTTCTAACACAATAAACTTCACCAAATTCCTTTCTGTTCGTTAGCAGCGTGATGTAAGCTTGACACGCTGCAAACGCGAATGCCAATTGCGAACAAGAAGAACAAAATCGAAAACAAATCAGAATTCATCGTATTGTGACGTAAGCATGAGACGTTGTGGTGGGGCAAACAAAGAAAGGGCACAAAAGAACAAAAACAATACTTTCAATATCCTTCTAAGACCTCTTTGGGAAGTGCATATTACGCCTCAAAAAAACATCCCAAAACATCCCATCAGGGATACCTCTCACGCTCTCAGTAGGCAAACAAAGAAATGCCACAGAAGAACAAAAACAATACTTCAATATCCTTCAAAGACCTCTTTGGTCAGTGCATATTACGTCTCAAAATAACATCTTCATGCAAACATTATCAAAACATCCCAGGGATGTTTGTGCTCGCTGGGCAGTTAGTACAAGAGATAAAAAAGGCGGAGTATGAAAAAGAAGTTAATTATTGCCTTGCAGAAAATTTTAAAGAAATTTCACAGTTTGCTGCATCTGATCCGTTCGAATACGAAAGAGTTGAATACCAAATTCATATTGAAATTGAAGATACGTTTAATAATAGTATGCTCATCTATCACAAATATTATGTCAGTATCACGGCGAACACTGAAAACTTGGCATACAGGAACCTGAGCGATAACTGCTGACAAACCATTCAAAATAGAAGCTTCAAAGAGATGTTCTAAATGGAGAAGACATTATTTATTCCGAAATTCCGAAACAGAGCTCAACGAAAAAATGCGGCCCGTATGGGTATACAAAATGATTGTACAAAATGTTGTACTCCGTGCAAAATAATTTATTAAAATTGTTCGTTGAAGAGAGCTTTTGACCATATACAGTGTGTCCCACTTACCATGGTCACCATGGGTATCTTTTTAACGGTGAGAGATACGAGGTCGGTTAAATGACACCAAATGTAGAGTTTGTCAAGGCCAACTATAATGTGAAAAAATATTTTGATAAAATCTATTCGTTTTTGTTTTATACGCAAAAAACAGATTTTGATCATTTTCATGTCTCCTCCGTATAACTTCTAATATTATATATATATTTCCATAATGTATTGTCACCGAAATTATGAACACCTGCCGAAGATGATGCCAAGATGGCGGACAAGATTTGGTTCGATTTCATTCAAAATTGGTAAGTGGGGGTTTTTAAGGTCGGAGATCATGATTTTTTTGTTAAAATTCATAAATTCAAGATGCTGGCTTCCAAATAATTTTTTGTTTTTGTATAAATGACGATAACTCCGTTGTTATCAACACAAAACTATTACTGCGACATATTATCTGTAAAAGAAAAAAAAGTTATTTGTAACTAAGTCATAGTGAGCTATGACCTATACCTTTGAAGAACTAAAGTTAGTGCTGATATCTCAAATTCTAGAAGAGTTGGTTTGAATTTCATATTTTTTTCGAAATCACTTTGAAAAACTGCCATGAGAATGTGAAATTCCTATTTGAATATTTTTCATAAATCAAGAAGTTACGAAGGAGACATGAAAATGATCAAAATCTGTTTTTTGCGTATAAAACAAAAACGAATAGATTTTATCAAAATATTTTTTCACATTATAGTTGGCCCTGACAAACTCCACATTTGGTGTCATTTAACCGACCTCGTATCTCTCACCGTTAAAAAGATACCCATGGTGAGCATGGTAAGTGGGACACACTGTATACTTAGTAATCATCTGTGCGTACCTACTCGTCAGGTTGACAAGAAAATTATTCATAAAAATATCTTATTTGGTCCTGTTCATTATTATTGATATTATGGCTAAATACGGTACAACTGTTGAAAATGTGTTTCCCAAAATGGGATAATTTGATGCTTATTACATTATCTTAAGCAGCTGACATGCTGGTTGCGGCATATATACTGTAATGTTTGAATACATTATTTCACACGAAATGCAACATTTTGTACAACCATTTGTAGATTGAAGCTTTTGTTTTCGAAAACAACCAACCAACCAACCAAACAAATAACCAACCAAAGGACAGAAGGAGATAACCTGCTCTTCCTATTCTCCCTACGCACGATGTTCTTCGAACATTATAAGGATTCCCTTGTCGTGTAATTTGCTCACCTTAGTACGTAGTTGACTGATACTATACAGTGTGGTCTTGACGATCTCGAATTATGTACAATTGTGGCGTAACTTTGCATCCACACCCAACCTCCTCCTTTGCAGAGAAATCGGTAATATTTGGTTGTGACTTGTCCTTTACATAAAACTGAAACAACAAGGAATATTCATTATTAAAGGTATACATTACTATAAATTTACTATTTGAACCTCATTGAGTTTTTGACACATATTTTGTTATCTCATAAGTTGGTCACACTGTAGTTGGAATAATGTTGTGAACATAACATTTTCGTAGAAAGTAACATGATTATGCATAAATATACATATAAAATGACACTTACGTTGGTGATGGGAATATCTCAATGCTAAAATATCACTTCCATGAACATAGTGGTAAAGGGTTTTTTCTATCAGGTCTTGTGGTTCATAGCCGGTCAGCTGGGCTACCCTGTAATGAAAAATATATTTCAGAAACGAAAGAATGCAAGAGTAGGGTGATAAGGTTGAAAACATCAAGCAAAAGATTAACTGAAAAAGAATATTCTCGATGAATCATGAACATATAAAAATGAGAAAATATCGATTCTCTTCCGGTTTATTCAATAGACCACAACTACTTTCCTGGCTATATGCCACGACGAACATTGAATTATGTCTATGAACACACACGATAAGAATTTGAAAACTAAATCTTCTGAGTTGAGAATTTGCATTCTCCTCCAGTTGAAAATATGTATTTGCACAAAATATCATTCTGAATATTCAACAGAAAGAAAACAACTACTTTCCTGGCTATTTGCCTCGTCGAATATTTAATTATATCTGTTGAACATCGAACAAGAGATCGAGGATGAATAGAGTTGCCCCAATCGTCAGCAGGAACGAGACAGTACTGTTTCGACCCACCAGGTCTCATCAGCCGCTCTCGGTCTGCTGACAACTGGGACAACTCTACGCTTCAGATTCCTTAAACTGTGGCTTCAGGTATATCACCCATTTCGAAGACGCAGGGTATAACCAGAAGCTCTAGGATCAAGAGATCGCAACACACAATGTGTGCTCTCGTAAGTATATAGGTTCCAAAGTATGCTTGGTAAGATAATTGGAATTGGGTGTTGAATGAGACATATGACGATGAATCACACATAATCAATTTTTATTTATATAAGTGCGAGGAGGAGGAAATCCCGAAAATATAGAGTAATTAATAATCTGTATAGCATTCACCAACACAATAAACATTGAGTTTCGTTTCGTAGGATGCGGGAACTAAGTAATATATCGAATAACCACTTCACTTTCAGATAGTGGTGGTTTATTTGATCATACTCTTTTTACATAGCTGTTGGGACAGTAGATATTCGATATATTTTTTTATCGGTGAAATACGATATGGAGGGTTGTGTACTCGTATATTATGTGAAAGTCCACCTGTGTTTGGAATCAGTGAAGAAATCAGTTGCAATTCTTCTCATGAATTCTATGAAACAAAATTATAATAACAGTGATTCCAGAAACTCACTTTTTTCTGAAGATTACAGATACATTTTGAGAAAGGGCAACTTTGAATGGGATGATAGTTGATGTTTTTCATCCACCAATTCTAACCGGATACACGTGTCCGGTGAATCATGGAAAAAATAATATCTCGAAACCAAGCTGATACTTATATATGCTTCGGTCTAAAGAAAAGGTATAGGTTTTCGTCATCTCGTACCTGATGGCTTCCAAGAAAATCAGCTTCAAGTCTAAACTTGCCCGAAACATGAACATCTCGGTGTGTAAATTCTTCATTTGAGTAACTTCTATATATTTTTTTTTGTTTTCTCAGTGTTATATAATGATAAATAAAGCCACCATAAATTACAAGTATTATTCTGATCAGCTTCAAGTCCAAACTGACCCGAAACATGAACATGTTGGTGTGCAAATTCATCATTTGAGTAACTATCTAATGTTTGCGCTTTTGTATATCAGTGTTATTGTGTACCAAGCCTAGCCATATTTCCTTGTTTATCCACTAGTTCATCGATCATTTCAATTCTATTATTGTTAAATGTTCGAGGTTGTTGCTTTCAATAATGCCCTGTATTTGCGGTAAAGTTGAACAACTGTTAGTTGTCATGGAAAGCAGAGGAAAAAAGATAATAAACAGGATTTAACAAGTTTTCAAGAAGAGTAGGAACTTTTCCGATGAAGATGAAACGAGATTTCCTCCAAGAAGAGATGTGTGCCTTCATGAGATAAAGGCCAACGTACCTATCCGAGGCTGTAGAAGCTACAAGCAGTTATAGCGACTAGGCAGTACTTGGTTTACTTGGTTGATACAACAAAGATTGGCAGTGGCCAAACTTGGAGAACTCCAGCGGCAGTAAGCTGTTAAGTTCAAGGTAGGAAAAAAGATAATAAAAAGATTTTAACAAGTTGTTAAGAGGAGAAGAGAATTTTCCAATGAAGATAAAACGAGATTTTCTCCAAGAAGAGATGTGTGCCTTCATGAGATGAAGGCCAACGTACCTATCCGAGGCGGTAGAAGCTACCAGCAGCTATAGCGACCATCAGGCAGTACTTGATTCACTTGGTTGATATACAACAAAGATTGGCAGTGGCCAACCTTGATGGAGACCTCCAGCGGCAGTAAGCTGTTAAGTTCAAGGTAGGATCCACCTCAATTATTGGATACCGTTCCTGAGTGTTAACATCAGATTTGGTGATCGATTGTATAGTGAGAGATTGGATTACAGGTCATAGACTGTAGCGTTGTAAGGTGTTTAGGAGAAGGCGCGAACTTGTCCTAGATCATTGGATTTTCAATTATACAGTGTGTCTCACTTACCATGCTCACCATGGGTATCTTTTTAACGGTGAGAGATACGAGGTCGGTTAAATGACACCAAATGTGGAGTTTGTCAAGGCCAACTATAATGTGAAAAAATATTTTGATAAAATCTATTCGTTTTTGTTTTATACGCAAAAAAACGAATTTGATCATTTTCATGTCTCCCCCGTAACTTCTTTAATTATGAAAATATTCAAATAGGAATTTCACATTCTCATGGCAGCTTTTCATAGTGATTTCGAAAAAAATATGAAATTTATACCAACTCTTCTAGAATTTGAGATATCAGCACCAACTTTAGTTTTTCAAATGTAGGTCATAGCTCACTATGACTTAGATACAAATAACTTTTTTTTCTCTCACAGATGATATGTCGCAGTAATAGTTTTGTGTTGATAACAACGGAGTTATCGTCATTTATACAAAAACAAAAAATTATTTGGAAGCCGCCATCTTGAATTCATGAATTTCAACAAAAAAATCATAATCTCCGACTTCAAAAACCCCACTTACCAATTTTGAATGGACTCGGACCACATCTTGTCCGCCATCTTGGAGCAGCCATTTCTTTAAATTTCAACAAAAATTCGATAACTCCGATTAACTTGCAATTTGGCAGGTGTTCATAATTTCGTTGACGATACATTGTGTAATTCTTGTTGAAATTAAAAAAAATGGCTGCTCCAAGATGGCGGACAAGATTTGGTCCGATTTCATTCAAAATTGGTAAGTGGGGGTTTTTGAGGTCAGAGATCATGATTTTTTTGTTAAAATTTATAAATTCAAGATGAAGGCTTCCAAATATTTTTTTGTTTTTATATAAATGACGATAATTCCGTTGTTATCAACACAAAACTATTACTGCGACATATCATCTGTAAGAGAAAAAAAAGTTATTTGTAACTAAGTCATAGTGAGCTATGACCTACATTTGAAAAACTAAAGTTGGTGCTGATATCTCAAATATTAGAAGAGTTGGTATAAATTTCATATTTTTTTCGAAATCATTTTGAAAAACTGCCATAAGAATGTGAAATTCCTATTTGAATATTTTCATAAATAAAGAAGTTACGGAGGAGACATGAAAATGATCAAAATCTGTTTTTTGCGTATAAAACAAAAACGAATAGATTTTATCAAGATATTTGTTCACATTATAGTTGGCCTTGACAAACTCCACATTTGGTGCGTCATTTAACCGACCTCGTATCTCTCACCGTTAAAAAGATACCCATGGTGAGCATGGTAAGTGGGACACACTGTATTTTTAGTTCGATTGGAAGCTTATCATTTTCACAGTCCTCTACCCTTTTCACATTTAAAGAATCCGCCACTAACTGGCATTACATCATCAGATATTGTACAGTTTGATGAAGAATAAAGACGCAACATGCAGCATAAATTGAAATTATTATACAGATTTGTTTTGTCCGTTTAGAGCTTTTCCTACAGATTCTCGTCCTCTCACCTGGCGTCCAAGAAGATCAGCTTCAAGTCCAAGCTGGCGCGGAACATGAACATGTTGGTGTGCAGCTTGATCTCGGTGATGGCGCTGGGCGGCAGAGAATGCCCGACCGCCACCAGACCCATGTTCTGGTAGCAACCAGCCTCGAACGGGCCAGAGGCGGCGCTGAACTGCTTTACTTTGAGGTAGCCCGAGCAATGGATCACCTGCAACAAAAGTTCAATTATGGGTACACTGGGAAAAAAACATTCATTACATTCTCTTGTTATGTCTGAGCTGATGACTGTTATTCAATTTCTAATCATATTTACTCATGTTACGGATAAAAATAGCGCCAACGACTAGTTGCCATAACTAGAGTTCCTAAATGTACTTGACACTGCTGTTTTGACGTTTTTTGTATATACAAACTTTGACCAATATCGTTGTTTGAGACAAAAAACTATTGCTTGCCGTGATTATTCAAAAACAAGTTATCCATCCGGAGAATAACGAATGAAATACAGATCAAGCAAGTATTTGAATCTTGAAGGCTTCCCTGATCAAAACAAAAATACTTTACTGAGATGTTTATAATTCCAATACTAAACTATAATAAAGTGTATTTATATCTCCAGCATGGGTATGAAATGCCAAATCTGCTGAAATCGGAAACAAATCAGGTATGCGTCTCAACCCAAACAACCAACCGTCACAATGTTGTTTATTCTTGATGACGTCCAGTAGATCCTTTTTAGTTCCTTGGAGATAAAGTTCAACTTTAGCTCCTAGGAACTAAAATTCAACTTTAGCTCCTAGGAACTACATTTGTTGCCTAGCAACATATCTATTTTTGTGTCAGTAATAGAAACGTCAATTCAAGAGCTAATTTTGATATTAAAATGGACGACTTTTGTGTCGGTTGCAGAAAATAGTAGATTGTTTTATTAGGATCAAAAGTGACACTTTGTTTGACAAGCGAATTTTGCATTCGCGAGGCGGAGCGTTTAGCGAAGCCGAGCGAAAGCAAAATTTGTGAGTCGAACAAAGTCACTTTTGATCCGAATGAAACATGCTATTTTTTCTGCAACCGAAACAATTAACTCAAATAAACATGTGAAGTAACCACCAATGCCGTGCCATATGTATGCAATGCAACAAATATTGACAAATAATCCATGTGGTGAGAATATTCTACCTGCATTAACAGCAGGTTAGGTTTTCTAGGATGTTCGAATTGTAGTTTCAATATAAATACAACCACAGAGTGACATATTTGTGTATGGACCAGGTGCTCTAATGGCAAATACCGCGCCAGTGCCAGCTATAGGAACAAAACAAGACGTGGAAAATGTTAGGTTAGTGAGCATATCAACAATGATAATAGTGATTATTTATTCCTCTCCATACTACACTGTGTTTGACTTGTAAATCAAATGAAGCTAAACAATAGCGTTGTTTGAGACAAAAAAACTATTGCTTGCCGTGATTATTCAAAAACAAGTTATACATCCCGAGAATAACGAATGAAATACAGATCAAGCAAGTATTTGAATCTTGAAGGCTTTCCTGATCAAAACAAAAATACGTAACTGAGATGTTTATAATCCCAATACTGAACAATAATAAGGTGTATTTATATCTCCAGCATGGGTATAAAATGCCAAATCTGCTGAATTCGGAAACAAATCAGGTATGCGTCCCAACCCAAATAACCAACCGTCACAATGTTGTTTATTCTTGATGACGTCCAGTAGATCCTTTTTAGTTCCTAGGAGCTAAAGTTCAACTTTAGCTCCTAGGAACTAAAATTCAACTTTAGCTCCTAGGAACTAAATATGTTTCCTAGCAACATACCTATTTTTGTGTCAGTAATAGAAACGTCAATTCAAGAGCTAATTTTGGTATCAAAATGGACGACTTTTGTGTCGGTTGCAGAAAAACATTTTTTGCCTGCCTATATATATTGCAATTCTTTTAATTTGAAATTTGTTTCAACTTTGACAGATATACCGACTGACATCCGATATACCTACTGACGTGCTATGCGAGTGATGTGTATCGTGTTGTTATTTGTGCGGGATATGTTATAACATGTCTATATGCATATCTAAACAGAAACTGAAGATTCGGATTCGATGTTGATTTTCTATACAAAATGCAAACAAGAGAAAAAGTGACTATTCACCTCAGCTGTCAGTAGTAAAACAGTATAGTAATCTGGCTCTTCCATTTTTCATCTCTGTTTTTATTTTGAAGGGAATAACAATAACAATGCTGATATAAATAAATACGACAATCTCAAATGCATTGTTAGGTCACGCGTCATACTAGAATCGTTGCCACGAATACATTAGTTGGTTTGGATTCAAATAACATTAAAAATCTTATGCATACATACAATGAATCATTGCTTATTGTTTTGTATACACTGTGTCCATAGTCCATAAAGTTAGTAGTCAACTTTTGGATATAGTTATGGCATTTCCTTCATTCTGTTCCAATTGTGTTTCATCTGCTACATTTTGGTAACAAACATTGAAATCGATAGTGTTACGTGATGTAGTTCATAGGGGCCATAAGTTATTTTGGGACACCCTGTATGTTGGCGAGCCACCCCACTGAGACACCCTGTACTTGTATAGTGTAATTCAGGGTTTTCACCGGAGAAGTACTGTTTCATTAATGAACCTCGAATATGCTAGACATGTTCCTCACATCTGAGATTTTCACCATCATCATATGCATATTCATGAAAATTATACATTCATATGAATGAGAATACATGAATATTTCTCACAAGAGTGTGTAGTTTTGATAGGTAAATGACATAATGGGCAATTCTGAGAGACTGGAGGGCACCTAATCATTTTCATGCGAATTGCCTTTTGAAATATGCATGCTTATATTTTAGAATACGCTCTCTTCATTAAAAGTATTTTCAGCAATGCAGTGTTGCCGCTTCTATAAAAAAGTAGCAACAACTTTGTTATTTCAAATAGAATACCCTGTATTTTATTGCGTTTTCAGATTCTCCCTGAAGATCTGATCTCATCGATACATCACACTTGGGGTCTATCGGAAATGATTACAGAGATATAGGGTGTTCAAAATCGATATTTTCCAACTTTAGGATTTGTTTGTGTCGAAACTATTTATTATCGGCCAAAATGGCTCACGTGTCCCTATCCGGAACAGATACAGGGTGATCAGAATTCTGAATCTTGAACCACCCTGTATCTGTTTCGATTAAATATCAGTAGATAGTTAATGAAAAGTGAGCCGTTTTGACCGAATAATGAATAGTTTCGACACAAAAAAATCCTAAAGTTGAAAAATCTCGATTTTGAACACCCTATATCTCTGTAACGATTTTCGAAAGACCCCAAGTGTGATACATCGATGAAATCAGCTCTTCAGGAAGAATCTAAAAATGTGAAAAAATACAGGGTGTTCCTTTTGAAATATCAATGTTGCTACTACTTTCTAGTAGAAGCGGCAACACTGCATTGTCGAAAATATTTCAAATGAAGAGAGCGTATTCTGAAATATAAGCAAGCACATTTTCATGGATTTCTCCCGACTGATTCTCGATATAAAGATAGTGTAAGCTCGACATACCCTGTATAGTAGTTACGCCACTGTTGGATATACTGTGCTACTCACCTTATATCCGCCGTTCGTGAGTCCGGCGTTACGTTTCGCCAGCACGCACTTCATCCTCAGGAAGAACGCCCGTTCGCTCTCGTGGTCGTGCAGTGGCGTCACCCCTGGCGGGAACATGGTGGGGGTGAGGACGGCGGTCATTTCGTCGTGGTCGGCGGGGTGGATGTACTCGTATATGCTGTTTCCTGTCAGTTCTACCTGGAAAAAATCATATGTTAGGTTTGTTCGCGTTCACAAAATTAACAGTCCGAAACCATCAGGAGCATGCGCAGTGACGAAGAAGTGTTCGCGTTTTCTCAGGACTGTTTCGTATTCCACAGATCAGATGTTTTCGTTTTATACGAACTAAACTGCTCAACACATAGAACGTAAAATCGCATTTTTTCGATCAAATTTGAATCATCATAACTTTAGAAATCCTCAACCGATTTTCAATCATTTTTCAGCTTCTGAAAGCTCGTTTCATTGACTACCGAACCTATGGATATGCCTAGGAAAGCGACCCCATCATGGGAATGCCAACGGATTGCAAAATTCCAAAATTTAGCTGTGAAAAAATTTTCAAAATAAGTATAACGGACAGAGAGGCATGGAAGGGAGGACCTCCTATCAATGCAGACATTGCTGTCTATACAGACGGCTCCAAAACTGAGGAAGGATCAGGAGCTGGTATTTATGGGGCCAAGCCAAAGACAAGAATCTCACTGAGCTTAGGTAAATACGCGACGGTGTTTCAGGCAGAAGTTATTGCAATACATCATTGCGTGAAAGAAATGATAAGGCAAGAGTTTAAAGGCAAAACCATTACAATCTATTCAGATAGCCAGGCGGCCATCAAAGCAGTCAAATCTATGCAAGTTAATTCAAAACTTGTATGGGACTGCATAGAAACCCTAAATGAACTGGGCAGTCAGAACAGACTGACTCTAGCATGAGTACGAGCACATACAGGGTACGAGGGCAATGAAGAGGCAGACTCACATGCCCGAGCAGGAGCAAACAAAGCTCTGAATGGCCCAGAACCATTATTTGGTATTGCGAAAGCTATACAAAAGACTAGTATCAAATCATGGATGCAAACCAAATCTCAAGAATGGTGGAACAACTCGCCCAGGTATGAGACAGGCAAAAGAGTTTATTAAAAAACCATCGCCAACATTCACAGAAACGAAGTTCAACTAGAATACTAGTGGGACTTCTCACAGGGCATTGTAGGCTCAACAAACACATGAGTACGATAGGTCTGACTGAAGAACTGCTGTGCAGGTTCTGTCAAGAAGAAGAGGAAACAGCAGTACACATATACTTTGCCACTGTGAGGGCTTGTCAAGACTAAGGTTCCTTATACGCTGGGTGAGGAAAAACCAGAAGCCCAAAGATACACAGGGGATCTGAAAGCTAGCATATGCAATCTTATATATCAATTATGATATGAGAGGCACAAGATTTGTGACTCCGCCACTGGGCGGTCAGTAACAAAAAAGATGGCAAAAACCATATATCTACTACTCTATATATGAAGCATAGCTATCCCCAAACCGGGATTACAGCAACTTCTGTCGCTATAGTGACTGATCTCTGCTATAGGTAACGAAATCGACCAATAGGCGTTGATGCCGACGTAGGGGAAAAATAATACGAAACAATATGGCTAAGAATTTCAAATTTTTAAATTGGTTTTAGTGCGTATGTGATTGATTGTGATTGGAATTCGAATATTTGCGCTTTCATTTGAACAATTCTCTAGTGTTTGTGTTTTCGTTTATTTTTAAATTTTCATGGACTGAACTTTTTGGTTCTAGTGGAACGAAATGCAGTATTTGCGGAGAAAAGAGGAGACAGGAATCCTCTTTTCATAAGTAAGTTAGAATTTTAAAATTTTCTCGTTTAGATATATTGACGTGCACATTATATTTTGGACTCCCAAAAGAACTCTGAACGAAGGAACTTATGACTCCAATTATTGGGGATAACTTATTTCCCCAATTTGATAATATTATGTAGTCAGCACGTTATATATACAAAATAAATCGAAGTTGACGGTATTATACTGTGGTATTATCAACAATTGATTGTTTTTAATATTTTGTTATGATCAAATAATTATGTACTAACCTAACCTAACTTAAAATCTGTCACGTCAACAGTTTCCATCCTTCACTTTCCGTCCTTATAGATTCAAAAAGTACCCCTCATTTTGGTCCCATTTTTGTTGAGATATCGTATAGGCGATGCGCCATATATAGAAATAGTAGATATAATAATTATCTACTGTGTTTTTGCCATATTATGGCAAAAACACAGGTTGGGTCTTTTGTTGATCTGAGGGTTAGCAAGAACGAAGAACGTTGTAGACGCCGATTGAGATACAAAAGAATTCGCTCGACATTCGATATCGAGATTTACACGCAATAAAATGTGCATTTATCATTTTAATCAGGCAAAGTATTTTTCGGTAGTGTCGGGGTGAAAATCGGGTGCAAGAAGCATGATTTCTCAGTTCACATGGTGAGTGACATTTTCGTTTATTTTACATTTCTAAATCTTGTATCATCATTTTTGTTTGGAATACAGTCCCACAAGTCTCGCTCGAACCCTGAAAACTACATTATTGATACCAGGGTTTTCCATATTTTATTTCAGATACTTCTTCGGAAAAAACTGATAAATTTGAACGTATACGCAGTTGTGTAGATAATTATTTTTCAATATAATATCAATTCACACAGGGTGTCACATAAAGTAAAACTGCAATTATCATGCGATGGGTTTTTGTCTGAAAAACACGAATTTCATAATGAAAATGTGAACAAACCCTTATTTTTATATTTCACTATAAATGTACAAATTTCACCTTCTTTTCTGTCTGTCTTTTGGATGGCATTTAGAACAATTTGCCTTTTTTTCATCATTAGACAATTTATTTATCACAATGTACTTCAATGGCACATTTTTTAATATACATATGAAAGTCATTCAAAAGCAATCAGTTGACATTTGACATATCGTATTTGGATCATATTTGGATTTTGGATTGACTATTGATTAAAATGGCCGTCATCTGGTATGATTGTTCACTAAATATGAAAAACTCGCCATAAAAATCATATTTCCTGTTGAATTTTTGAAAAAAGTGTCATTGAAGTACATCATGAGTATATAAAGTGTCCAATGACAAAATGAGAATAGCAAGTAGCTGTAAATGCATCCAACACAAGGGAAAAAAGAAGGCGAAATTTCGAACTTATTCTTGAAATATCTCGATAAATAGTGGTTTGTTCACATTTTCATTATCAAATTCGTGTTTTTCAGACAAAAATACGTAAGTACCAAAACAAATGTTCGAAAAAAAAACATTGTATGATAAGTGCAGTTTTACCCCACATAACATATATACAGGCTGATTCACGGTGGAAGGCACATTAGACGTTTCTGTGTTGTGCTCTATCAACTTTAAATATTCTCAGCGCTGCGACGTTGTCGCTTATATTGAAAAGTAGCAACAACTTTGATTTTCAGAATCTGACACCCGGTATATTATTCCATTTTCGAATTCTCCCTGAAGAGCTGATTTCATTGACTTATAGAAGGTACTTGGGGTCTAGCAGTGACAGTTACAGAGATATAGGAAAGAGGGATAGGATAGATATAGGGTGTGAAAAATTGAGATTTTTCTAAGATTTTTGTGTGTCGAAAATATTCATAATTGGTCAAAACGGTTTCCATATCCCTATCTCAACTTCTTATATACTATTGATATATAATTGGTATAATAGGTACAGGGTGGTTCAGCATTGAGATTTTCAACCGGAAATTTCGTCGCATTTGAATCCGTGACATCATATTATTCACTATACTCATTCCACTTCTTTTAAATTTTTCCATTTTCTGAAATTTCAATTTTGTCTCACATATTATGGATGCGAATCTATCGGTAATTGTTGAAGTATAATATCTTCCATCCTATATGCGAATTTTAAAAACCGACCTCATGAAAAAAGTTTGATTTTTGGAAACTATAGTTGTTTGGGCTGCCATTTTCCAAAGTGGCAGAAAATCATTGAACTATAGTCAGGGGCGAATTCAGGGATTAGAAATTTCATTAGTACCCCTAAATGACACGAGTTTGTTCTTGTACTGACCTCTCAAGTTCAAGTTGTTATTTTGCGTATATCTACTGGGCTATTATAATAGTACAAGACACCTAATATAAGAAACTGAGATAACAGACATATTTCATTGTAATTCTATTACTTTACCTGTGACAAACCTAGGTGCACTGAAGCCGTCTCTGATATGTACATGATCTTCCCATCCGGTGCTACCACAAAAATGAACCCGTCCAAAGTTTGTAGAAGATACGAACCTAATTCTTTTATGGGCGCTTCTCTGGGATGGGGAATGACAGGAGTTGCTCCCCAAGCGTCTCCTAAACCTGGAAACGACACAAATAATAATTCTTATCTCACTTAATCGAAAGCATACAGAGAAGTGCACAAAAAACGGCCAGGACTGTTGCTTTTGAATTATTCGAGATAGGGTTGGCGGCTAGGTAGTGGAGGCATATATGGCCAGTGAGATTATATGGCCCGCATGAATATTTCAAGTGATTTGAAGAAAGAAAAACAGTTTGGCATCGCTGCTGTGTTTAAGTAGCTTGGTACCACTCCCCCCAAAGACCGCATCGTGCCCTCCAGTTCGGAAGACTAACTAATTCAGTTTGATGTAGACCGTGGAACAATAATAGTGTCATTAGTTAATTTCCGAACAAGAAGTTTTCACCATATTGTTCACATAGCACACATCTCTGCGTGCGTACTCCACCACAAGGTAAGTAAACCATAATACCTGATGTTCCTATGAAATTATATGTCCAGTTTAAGTAGTTTATTAAGGAAAAATATGTTTTTTTGTAACTACACGTCGGGTAATATGGCCCTTGGTGTGAGAGGCCTATATGGCCCGGGCCATAAAACCTGCTTCTGGCCATACAACCCGCTCAAAATATAGTCAACGGATTTAAAGCAACCGGATTATATCCTTTCAATCCGGATGGAATTCCCGAATGTGCATATGCTCCTTCCTTGGTCACCTACAAACCACCACCTGAGAACCTACAGGATCAATTCGGCTAAATTTTTTTCTGGTCGGGTTCGTTAATGGACAGCTTTTGAAATAAAATATTATTATATTGGTATATAGGTACCTATTCACAATCATGAGGAATTATACAGGACGCGGGCTTTATCATACAGTCTTTCAAAGTTTTTTGATGAATATCACTGCATTGACAATCCCAATTTTGAATAGAAATTCACCAACGCTGCCTAAATACAATCTCATAGTGATCGAAATAAGGAAATGTAAATTAGGTAATTCGGAGCCTTTGTGTATGATTGTGCGTGTTAGATTTCTGCTGAGATAGGTACTGAGATGAATTTGGTTTTTACATTTGAATTCACTTTCATTCCCCAATGTATTAACGATGACAGCGATAGACATAAATGATTTCGAATAAACAGATCTTCCGTTCTGATATTTACTCATGTTTATTAATAATTATTCATGATGGGTTTTTGATTGAAGGAGATCCATTAGATATATTTTGAATTGCACGCAATAAATCTTTCAAAAGTCCCACGATGTGAAAACCTAAATTTTCTTTCATTTTCATTTTTCTTTCATATTCCTATACAAACTGATGTTCTTCAACTACCTTGCGGATCATTAGTCAATACGAATAAAAAAACTCACTCTACAAGCGCATTTCATCGCACACAAGCTCGATAGTTCCTCAGAAAAATGCTAGGTATAGACACTGATGAAATGGCAAAAAGTGCTGTATTGATCAGAAGTCTCCCCTTTATTTTTACACACTTGATAATTTATTGTTTTCTAGAAGAAACTATTTCGGTAAGATCTTCGAAATCTGAATTCATAATGTCAGTGTCATCAAATTTGTTCGAATTGTAGTTTCAATATAAATACAATCACAGAGTGACCCATTTGTGTATGGACCAGAGACGTGGAAAATGTTAGGTTAGTGAGCATATCAACAACAATAATGATAGCGATTATTTATTTCTCTCCATACTCCATTGTGTTTGGCTCGGTAATCAAATGAAAATAAACAATATCGTTGTGTGATACAAAAAAGTATTGCTGGCCGTGATTATTCAAAAACAAGTTATCCATCCCGAGAATGACGAACGAATGAAATACAGATCAACCAAGTATATGTGAATCTCGAAGGCTTTCCTGATCAAAACGAAAATTCTCGACTATAATGCTAATAAATGCCAATTCTGCCGAAATCGGAAACAAGTCAGCTATGCGTCCCAACCAAAATAACCAATCGTAACAATATTGTTCATATATACTTGATGACCTCTATAGTACATCCTTTTTAGTTCCTAGGAGCTAAAGTTCAACTTTAGCTCTTAGGAACTAAAAGTATTGCCTAGCAACATACCTATGTTTGTGTCAGTAATAGAAACGTCAATTAAAGAGCTAATTTTGGTATCAAAATGGACGACTTTTGTGTCGGTTCCAGAAAAAAGTAATTTGTGCTACTGGGGAGTGCACTTACCATCTGGAAACACCTGTCTCATTTTCAGATAGGATGTGGTCAATCTGATCACTGATGCTTTGTCTAGTTGTGATGTGATGGCCGCCGGTAGAGGTAAAAGTTTGGCGAGCTCCAAAAATTCCGCGTTCTCTTTCTCCCTTCGACTTCTCGCTGCATTTTTGCTTTTTTCCTTCATGGCACCTTTGGTGCCGAGTGATGCTACTGAAATTAATAATAATGATAATAATATACCTTTATTCACAAACAATAATAATCAAAAATACAAGTAATTGGTTGAGTACATCATATGGTGGAAGTGAACAAAGTAGTTTAGCGATAAGTGCTATGCACTTGTTTCGCGAAAAAAACATGGAAATGTAAAATATAAATTATAAAATGCTCAATGCAAAATCCATATTTAGAATATATAAAAATAAATTAAATTGAACATTGGTAATAAAGGGCATTCACTTGATCTTGATATCATGAGGGTTATACAGGGTGTATTCTTTCATGATTTTGTGTTTTTCGCCAGCGTGAAAAATTACACCTCAGGACAGAATGCTATTTTTCCAACGGAAAAAATCTTGCATTTCTGTCCCTTGATGTATATATATATATATACAGGGTGTCTCTAGACCAGTGGGACAGTTGAATATCTCCTGCACCAATAGGAATTTTCAAAATATTATAATTTCACATCATATCGCATTATGAGTGCTAACTTCAGGAATGACTATATTTTATACGAGGTGCGCAAGAAAGGCTCACAAAATCGAACATCAAATTTTTCAAATGGAACACCCTGTATTTCATTGCATTTTCATATTCTCCTTGAAGAGCTGAATTCACCGACCTAGCACACTTGGGGTCTAGCCGGAATGATTTCCGAGATATAGGGTCTGGAAAATCGGCGGAAAATGGCATTTCATCTCTGTTGGCAGGTTATAAAATGACACTTTTCATAAATTACTTTTTTCCCGTGGGAAAAAAGTGAGTACTTTTTTCCCGGATATATATCACATATATATACTCTGTTAATGGCTTTTGTTGTGCTATAGTTCCGAAAAATGAGTCAATAATACCGTCTCCGAGAAAGAACTGTAAGTCCTTTTATCTTCCATTCGACTTCGCGGTTTCGTATAGTACTAAACAACTACTGAATTCGCAATTTTTTAAAATCAAATCACAGAATTGAACTGACAGAAGTGACATCAGATATTTGATTACTTCAAAAGAATGATATAAAGATGCATATAAAACGCAGGTGTCCCTACTGTTAAAAACTTGAAATTTCACGTCGATAATTTTCAGATATCGAAATAATGTAATATCTTCTCAATATTGATTCGTCCTTCCTTCTGTCACAGAAAAAAATAGTGTATTATACACGGGAAAAATATTAGATTTTAGCTCACGGTTTTTTGTCTCCCTCCGCTACGCGTCGGGAGACAACACAACCTGGAGCTAAAATCTACTACTTTTTTCCCTTGTATAATAAATAACTATTATTTATAACCCCACCCCTGTGTATGAGCTTTCATGGTGCCAAAGCATTGTGGATGGAGATTGACAAATCCCCAAAATTTCTGAATGATTTCAATTGGGGTTATTGAGTAATCTCAATGGAAGTCTTGAAAACACCTACATTGAAATTTGGAGTCAAATCGAATTTTTATTGTTTCCTCGAAAACTTCGCAAGATACAAAAATTATACAGAAAATAAAAAAGTTGTTATTTCAATAGTTCAATCTGATAAAAATATGAAACCCAGAAAAACCGGTGCATAGTGTACAATGACATTCACCATGAATATCGATAAATGTACCCACTGTGACGCCACTGGAAATATTATTTCGAATCTAATAGCACTAGAAGAAGCTCCATATTACCATTAACAAAACCACAACGTTTCATTGAAATTGATGAAAAGACAATTGAGAAATGAATAGAAAAAATATTTTTCATGGAAATATTAGTACCCTGTATCTTGAAAACGAAGAAGGTTGGGACACATGTTTATATGAACTTTATTTCCTATAAAATATCACAAGGTATCACCCCTTGAATTTTTTCAGATACACCCTGTACAGGGTGGCCAACTAAGACTCCAGAGTTCGATTTCTCTGTTGTCTTGAGAGATACAAAAAAAATTCATGAATCAAAATTGAAGGAATAACCGAGCTTCACATTTCAAAATTTCTTTGAAATACACAGGGTGTTCCGTAAGGTCACAGCACATCAAAGCTATGTTTTTTTCATTGGAACACCCTATATTTTATTTCATTTTTGAATTCTCCCTGAAGATCTGATTTCAACGACCCATCATACTCAGGGTCTAGCAGTGAAAGTTACTGACATATAGGGTGTGCAAAATCGAGATTTTCCAAGTTCAGGATTTTTTTCTGTCGAAACTGTTCATTATTCGTCAAAACGGTTTACATGTCCCTATCTTAACTTCTCACTCACTATCAATTGATGTTCAATTGGCATTGATACAAGGTGGTCAAAAAATCTAAATTTATAATTTGTTTCAATTAAATGTCGATTGAAAACCAATTGATAGTGAGTGAAAAGTTGAGATAGGGACATGTAAATTGTTTTGACGAATAATGAACAGTTTCGACAGAAAAAAATCCTGAACTTGGACAATCTCGATTTTGCACACCCTATATGTCAGTAACTTTCACTGCTAGACCCTAAGTATGATACGTTGTTGAAATCAGATCTTCAGGGAGAATTCAAAAATGAAATAAAATATAGGGTTTTCCAATGAAAAGAACATAGCTTTGATGTGCTGTGACCTTACGGAACACCCTGTGTATTTCAAAGAAATTTTGAAATGTGAAGCTCAGTTATCACTTTAATTTAAATGGAAAACTTTTTTTTGTATCTCTCAAGACAACAGAGGTATCGAACTCTGGATTCTTAGTTGGCCACCCTGTATATCATGGGAGCAAATGTACATTTCCCCCATGTGTGTTTAATGCCATCCGCTACGCGTAATGCATCAAACTTCACATGCGGAAGAAAATTATTACCTTTCCTCCCTTGTTATGGGTGTCCCGAAATTAACCTGCCAAACTTCACCAGCGGCTTCTACGATCAAAAATAGAAAAAAAGTTCTAATGAACATGAGACGAGAAATGTCTCTCAAGGGAGCTACGGCCCTCTGAAGAGGGGCTCCTGGAAGATGATATTTCTTGAGTGTTTCCGAAACTCCATGTGATAAAAAGATGCAATTTGGTACAAGGACTAAAATTCTCAAGCCCAATGCAGTGAAAACAAAATGATTTCAAAATTTCACTCAGGAGTGTATATTACGGGGGGACTACATTAATTATTGCTCAATAATTTTTGTATGCATATGATGTGACAGTTTAATCTTGGATTATAAAAATCTAGACCTCTTTACAGAAAAAAGATTAAAAGGTACTTTTGTTCCGTAACGATCAGATGTGTCATCATCGAGTAAAAGCGATTTAAAAATATGGTTACTTCTAAGATATTATAAATAGTATGGCAATGAGTCGTATAGTGGAAATGAAATAAAAAGCACAAAAATTGAAGTAGTTTTTTATCATCGCACTTTCCTATTTTTCGCGCTTTTATGAGATTGTTTGGTGAAAAGAAAGATGTTGATTTTTTTATAGCCACTATATGATTTGAAAATTGGCAACGTTATGCATATAAGATGTGAATGTATCAGTATTTTTGAATCGATTTCACTCGAATATGATACATCTGATCGATGCGGAACCAGAGCACCTTTTTTTTGTGAAACGGTGTGATGGATTTTTATAATACGAGATTAAATTGTCAAAAAACATGCATACGAAAAAGTTTGGGCAATAATTGATGTAGTCCCACCCTTTATCATACATTCCTGAATGAAACTTTGGAATGATTTATGTTCACCGCATTATATCACATGGCGATTCGGAAATATTCAAGAAATATCAATTAGTGATTCACACGAGACCAACGAGACGAGACTTTCATACATCATACATCTAAACAAGAGGCACAGAATAATATTTTTTCCTCCGATTGGCAGCAAATATTAATTTTGCTGACACATAATATCGCTACGCTCGGCTATGAATTCAGCCACGGCAGTCAATCTAGTACTTTGCTGCCTAGTTAAACAAATAACTATTGAAGCTCCTGCATCCATACTCCCGTCAAAACAAAGTTATTCTTTACCTTAGATTATTTAGCACAGAATGACTTATTTATATATAGATTTTCAGGTAGTCATTCAATTTGCGATCATGTCGTTATTGCAGAATTGCCTTTATTTTCCGCCGCCATAAGAGATCATGGATTGTGTTTTTAAAGTATTTATGAATAAAATGTTTTGTCTATATGTGCTAAATAGTCTGAATTCTTTCTCAATATGTTGTATTATGAATGAAATTCTCAAGTCTGCAGTCGGCACGCAGAAATATTTACCTGCGAGACTCTCGCACGAGACACGAGAAGTCTTGCACGAGACTCGAGACGAGACCAATAAAAGTCTCGTCTCGTGTTGTCCGAGTCTCGTCTCGAGTCTTGTCTCGAAAACGAGACGAGACCATGCGAGACTCTCGAAAACGAGACTCTCGCGGGCACCACTAAATATCATCTTCATCAGGAGCCCCTTTTCAGGGGGCCGTGGCTCCCTCAGGAGACATTTCTTGACTCATGTTCATTGGAACTTTTCTTCCTATTTTTGGTCGTAGAAGCCGCTGGTGAAGTTTGGCAGGCTAATTTCAGGACACCCTGTATAAATAGCTATAATAAGTACGTACATTTGTTTTTCGATATGTTACTGTCCTTTGAAGCAACACTAACAAACTTCATGTTATATTTCAACTAGATCTATAGTACGCACGAAACTATCCACACTGAAATTTCGACACCTGTCACTGCACTTCCATGCACTTGCCAAAATCCCAAACTGAACGTTGCGCGATGCAGGTTGCCCTCATCTGGCATTTTGGAAATTCCCGAAACCGAATTATTGTCGGTGTTCGCCCTATAGATTCAATAGCGCAGTGGCCCTGAGAAGCTGTCAGGTTCCCTTTCACAGCTAGCCAGGTAAATTCCTTTGGCCGTTTGGATATCTAAGGGTTGAGGTGTGACGGCAAGGTAAGGCAGAGGGGTGATTGAAGATACGCCCCGATTGCCGCAAAAAAATGGTGGGATTCAACCCCCGCCTGGATATAGGGAGATTAGAG